GCAATTATCTTCGTGGTGGAAATTACACACACTGAAGACACTCGATGAAGCTTGTGCAAGGTTGGTGCAAGAAGGCGAAACATTTACAAGCAAAGTTGATTTCACAGCTTTGCACCAGGCTGACGCAGCTCCTGTAGTTCCAAATAGTCGCTTACTGTAATGGTCCGGTTCCTTGTACCACGGTGATAGTCCAAAGTAGAACCAATAAAGAAGAACTCGAACACGGATATGGAATAACACAGATATATTACAAACAGGAATATATATAGAGAAGTAGAAAGTGTTAGTACGAACAATCAGGTTTAGTAGTAATTGTCTGAACGCGACTCTGTTTCGGACTGCTTCTGACTCGACTGACTGTCTCTCTCGCTCTGACTTCTGGCAGACCTCACTCCAGACTTCAGACTGAACAGTATTTAGTCACACCCCCACAAGGGTATCATGTGGCACAAGGCCGGTTGAAACGTGAGATCTCCGAACCCGTGGGCTCGGCCAAAAATATGCCCTTTGAACCCGTATAAACGGGTTTCAGGGTCGGTTTACCTCCCCGAAAGAGGCTACGCCGAAAGGCGGAGTCTCGTTCGGGTTCCTTTCCTTCCGAAGGCAGAGAGTTTAACCGATCAGCCGGTCAGCCGGTCGCCCGACTTTGGACTGAACAGTATTTAGACACCCCCGCCACACACACACGAGGGCATCATGTGGCACAAGGCCGGTTTAACGTGGGATCTCCGAGCCCGTAGGCTCGGCCAAAAATATTCCCTTTGAACCCGTATAAACAGGTTCAGGGTCGGTTTACCTCCCCGAAAGAGACTCTGCCCTTCGGTGTAGCCTCGCTCGGGTTCCTCCCCGCCCGAAGACAGAGAGTTCAACCGATCAGCCGGTCGTCCGACTTCAGGCTGAACTCCCTGCTTCCTCTTGAGGTGCAGTATTTATTACGTATGGAATAGTCCATTATGTTATTATGGGTAAGGTCCCATAACACTTACCAATGAGAAGTTGCATGCAGATTAGAACTCCAGCTTACATCGGTACTTCTGCGAATGATGCTGTTGGCCAGTTTGTTAAAAATGTTTCCGCATTTGAGTTTAAATGTTTTAGTTGAGGTTATTACCAGAAGTAGAAAAGAAAAGAGCTCCCGAAAAACTGACTTTCAAAGCTATAAATGAACACCTTATGAGTACAGATATAAATTCCTGGACTTAAATCTGGGCCTTTGACGAATATTTCCCTGGACTTATATCATTGCTTATGCCACTAAACCTATACTGGGCGTAAACTTCTTCTGTCGTTCTAACTTGTGGATAAATGTGTACAAAAGGAGATTAATTGACAAAATGATAAATATTAAAATCGTTAGGCAGTCAGAAAAGGGATAACTTTTTAGTTTTTTTTACAGTAAGATAAACATTGTACAACGCCCGGGGGTACTTGATGTAGAGGGTTACGTTGAGGTAGTTTATACTGGTAGGAGATAGATAACGGCTAACACTAGACTTGAACTGGATAAGATTATAGTGATCGGGTAACCATCCTCTTGAGAGTGTTCCACAGAGCAGTGGTTCGCGGAAAAAAGCTGTTCGAGTGGAACTTCTCGCTAACAGAATACGGGGATAATGTGGGTGGTTTGATATTTTGTAAGTGGCATCGCGGGTTCTAGCCGCCAATGTTAGAACTAACGGATCTATAGAATTTGCGGTAGAGCAGTGATAGGCTTGTCACATCCCAACCGTGAGGGAGAGACTAGAGGTTGGAAAATAATTTATCACCCATAAGGCCGCGGAGACGCTTTTGAACACTACGGAGAATTAGAATTGTGGGCTGGACATCTCTCGCTCAAATAGGAAAACAGTACTCTATTTTCAGCTTGATCTGACTCTCACGTCGAATTTTGGGACTGATAATTATTATCAAAGATTTATGCTACACTGAGCGATATTTTCCAACTGTTAACATATAATGGCAGACGTTAAGAAAGTATGTAATACTAATTGGTCTTTTAGAAGAAACAGTATCACTGTTTATGTATCCGCTAACACTATTGGTAGTATACTAAAATGTAAGCGTGGGGATCTCTAGAAAGCCATAGGGCGTGATTTTTTTTCAGCAAAAAATGCCAGCGGAGACTGAAAAATAATACAGCGCCTTTGGTCATAAATTCTATAGAGCAACTGAAGCTGTTTGCTATTTTCGTCACCTGATAGTAGGTTGAATATTCCACCTCTTAACTGATCACACGGCGCATTCCACAACAAATGGAAAAGACATTCACTACGAGATTTGCAACGTCTCTACAATTCACATGTGACATTCAGCTACTAAACACCAAGACAAACATCCCTGTAGATGCCTTTTCTCATTTCGTAAATACATATATATTATTGGACTTCCCAGTTAGAAGTAAATAATCGACTTCTGAAAAACAAAGTTTCGCACATTAAATACAATACCTACCATTCATTACCATTTCTTTAAAAGAGTTCCTAGTTCTAATTTGCTATTGCGATGGTAAATGTACACAGGCTGCCTGTTGCTATTAATCATTATTTTAAAAAAATTAATATAAGAATTAAGGAGAGAAAAAAATGTGAACGAAAATTAAGAAAACAGAAGTATTTATATTTTTCAACATCAAAATTGATTGGGAAGCAAGAACCAGTGAGATAGTTCCACAAGCAAGAAGTGCGACAGAAGAAACTGTTTACATTATTTTCAGTGTTCGGACTGTTATTCTCATCTTTGTTGTCATATTCACGACGTTTCCACCGTTGTACGCTCCGGCCTTCAGGTGATATACGTTAGAATTTCGAGCAGAAACCTTTCTTTCCTCAACTTTTCTGGACCTCTCAGTTAGGAGAGTACAACGGCCGAAACGTCGTGAATATATCAAGATAGAGTCGAACAACAGTCCGAACAATGTAAATAGTGTAAATAGTTACAATATCTCGTCTTAGAAATATAGACAGATCCTGAAGAATGCTGGAGCGTACAACGGCCGAAACGTCATGAATATGGCAAGAAAGTTAAGGTCAACACTCCGAACAATGTAAATAATTACAATACCTCATCTCAGAAATATAGACTGATCCTAAAGAAGACCGGAGCGTACAACGGCCGAAATATCGTGAATATGACAATAAAGATGAGGACAACAGTCAGAATAATGTAAATAGTTACAATACCTCATCTCAGAAATATAGACAGATACTAAAGAAGACCGGAGCGTACACCACACACACACACACACACATATATATATATATATATATATATATATATATATAAGAAGAAATACATATATATATATATTTCTTCTCATATATATATATATTTTTCTCATACATATATATATATATATATATATATATATATATAATTCTTCGACGCCAAGAGCCTTTGATCTAGCGAGTATAACCCTTGCTTCATATCGTAACGCTCTGGGTTCGATTCTCGGAAGCGGATGCGCACTGCTGATAAGTCCAAAAAAAGGACGAAACGGCGTCCATTGCTTTCTGCATTCTATTGAGGATTCTTCTTGACCCAATGAATTATTTAAGTATGATTATTCAAATTCCCCTAATAATACACACACACACATATATATATATATATATTGATGCATGTTTCATTAAATAATATAGACAACTTTTGTCTATTTCTTTTAAGTAAATTCCTTTCATATAGTCTGATAAGCTTAATAACATTGAAAGATGAAAGAAAAACACCATACTGATACATGTTTTTAAATTCTATCTAAACTTTCGGCTTACATAAACCATTATCAAAGATGACAATTACATTTCAATATATTAAACAATACACGGACAAAACAATGATGATAATCTGTTTTTGTTGCATGAAAGATTTTCAAGCAACGACAATCTCGTGTATACGAGACGCGGAAGCGAAAATCGCACAGCAGCTCGTGTCGTTACACATGACCACGCGAGAGTGAAAACGAGAAGTATTAAGTATGTGAAGCCGTTGGTATAAATCGATAGCTTCTGTTATCAATTATATGCATTTAAGAATATTTGTGGGGATTTCATAGGTTATTTTGTTCAGGTTAGGTTTCAAGAATTTTATATATATTAATAACACTGTTAAACGTTTTTCTCAAATTTTACGTCTTCTCTTTGGTACAACTATTTGCTAATGTCAATGCTATTACGATTTGGGATCATTGTTAAATAAAATATATGAACTGATTATTTCTAAATTGAACATACCTAACAGAATCTACCCGTCCTGGGTATGACGATAAACTGCATCCGTGTCCTGGGCAAGACGATAAACTACGTCCAAGAGCAAGGCCTCTGATAATACGTTTTTGAAAAAATAATGTTGCCAACTGTACGTTTTGGGAAAAATAATATTAGTAGCTATACATTTTTGGAAAAATAATATTAACAGCTATACATTTTTGGAAAAATAATATTACCAGCTATACATTTTTGGAAAAATAATATTAACAGATATACATTTTTGAGGAAAAAAATATTAGCAGAAATAAATTTTTGACAAAACAAAAATATTACCAGGAAAAAAAAGTTGTCGGCATGAAATGACCCATTGAGGATGATATGCCGTAAAACAAAACAAACAAAACTAACAGATTCTACTGGAAGCGATTTAGGAAGAAGTCAGTATTTAACAGAACGTTATTTGGAATCAGTGGGTTTTTTTTTTCAGCAAAAAAAAAAGCTATAATATTGAGAAAAAAAAAAGAGACCAACTGTTTGGAATCAATTCGAAGTTATAAAAGTGTGTGAACAAATGTGGTAAAGTTTTAAGCAAGTCGTATAAAGATAGGTAGATTTAAGCATGACATTGGGTTTTGCGTGTGCCGATCTGAAACGGAAAGCGGCATCCTCTCTGGCGATTCAGTTTGACATTGTGACAAATACGAAATAATGAGCTTTCTCTGGTCGGAACAGCGGCGTTCTCAGAATTTGGCTTAGATTTAAATCACCCACTTAATAGCCTTTCATTTCTCCGAATAGTCTCTTCATTTCTATCCCACTTTTTCATTGTTTCTCATCGTCATTTTCCTCTCTTTATCTGCTACATTCATTCAACTGTCTCTATCTATCTATCTATCTATCTATCTATCTATCTATCTATCTATCTATCTATCTACATCTCAATCTCATTATCTATCTATCTATCTATCTATCTATCTATCTATCTATCTATCTATCTGTCCTAGTCGGTAATGTATTATCTATCTACCTGTTCATATCTATCTATCTATCTATCATTCATCTATCTATCTATCTATCTATCTGTCCTAGTCGGTACGTATTATCTATCTACCTGTTCATATCTATCTATCTATCTATCTATCTATCTATCTATCTATCTATCTATCTATCTATCTGTCCTAGTCGGTACGTATTATCTATCTACCTGTTCATATCTATCTATCTATCTATCTATCTATCTATCTATCTATCTATCTATCTGTCCTAGTCGGTACGTATTATCTATCTATCTATCTATCTATCTATCTATCTATCTATCTATCTGTCCTAGTCGGTACGTATTATCTATCTATCTATCTATCTATCTATCTATCTATCTATCTGTCTGTCTGTCCTAGTTTGGTACGTATTATCTATCTATCTGTTCATATTCATCTATCTATCTATCTATCTATCTATCATCTATCTATCTATCTATCTATCTATCTGTCTGTCCTAGTCGGTACGTATTATCTATCTACCTGTTCATATCTATCTATCTATCTATCTATCTATCTATCTATCTATCTATCTATCTATCTATCTATCTGTCCTAGTCGGTACGTATTATCTATCTATCTGTTCATATCTATCTATCTATCTATCTATCTATCTATCTATCTATCTATCTATCTATCTATTTATGTATCTGTCTGTCTACATCTCAATCTCATTATCTATCTTCTATCTATCTATCTATCTATCTATCTATCTGTCTGTCCTAGTCAGTACGTAGTATTTATCTACCTGTTTATATTCATCTATCTATCTATCTATCTATCTATCTATCTATATCTCTGTCTACATCTCAATCTCATTATCTATCTATCTATCCACACCTCAATCTCATTATGTATCTATCTATCTGTCTACATCTCAATCTCATTATCTATCTATCTATCTATCTATCTATCTATCTATCTATCTATCTATCGTAGGACTCATTATCTTTCTCTATTTCTCTTTCTTAGATTACATTCGCATTTTCGCTGCCAGATCCGTTCTATTTCTCGTTCCGTCTTTTTTTTTTTTTTTTACAATTTCTTTTTAATTCCTTCATATATGGTTCTTAACTCACTCTTTCTACCATGTTGTTTCTTTCATTTTCTTTTGCCCTTTCTTTCTTTCTTTCATTTCCTTTCTTTCTTTCTTTCTTTCTTTCTTTCTTTCATTTCCTTTCTTTCTTTCTTTCTTTCTTTCTTTTTCTCACGGAAACCAAACGGTGTCTCCAATATGTCTTTTATGTCTTTCATTGCGATCAACACGAAATAATTAATCGCTATGACGCTCCTTTCTTCGTCGTCTTTTCCTCACGTAATATCCTGTATTTATCAATATTCCGACATTATTTCATTTATATTCTTACAATTCCTCGTTATCTTTTTTATTTTTATAATACGCGCATATTATTTACTTCCGTCAATATTTTCATTAATTCTGTTTCTTTCTTTCTTTCTTTCTTTATCAATATCGAAGATTAATTTATATTTTTCATAAACTTTTATTCTTGATTTCTTTCTTTTTAAATTTTCACAAAATAATATCATGAATGACCTTATTTTATCTTTCTTTCATTCATTTATTAGTGTTATATTCATTCTTTCTTTTGTCCTCTCTATTCACGCATTATTTTTCTAAATATAAATACTTCTTTCTTTCCTTCTTTCTTTCTTTCTTTCTTTCACGCATTATTTTCTCAATATCTTTCCTTCATTTAATTCCTCCTTCCTTTTTTCTTTCTTTCATATTTACAAATTACTTTTCTCGATATCTTTCTTCTGCTTTTTCATTTCTTCTTTCTTTCCGTCGTTCTTACATTTTTTCTCAATATTCAAATATTATTTTTCTCATTATCTTTCCCTCTTTTTATGCCTTCATTCTTTCATCCTTTTTTTTACTGTATCTTTGTTTCTTTTTCTCTTCGCCTTTCTTTCTTTTTTCTCAATATTCAAATATTATTTTCTCATTATTTCTTACCTTTTATTCATTCATTTTTTCTTTTTTTTTCTTTCTATTTTTCTTTCTTTTTCTATCTGTCTTTTTTCTAATTATTTAAATATTATTTTTCTCAATATTTTCCTTTCTTTCATTCTTTTTTCATTTTCTTCCTTTATTTATTTCTTTTTCTTTCTGCTTTTCTTTATTTTTTCTCAATATTCAAATATGATTTTCCTCATTATCTGTCATTCCTTTCATTCCCTCATTATTTCTTTCTTTCCTTTTTGTTTCTTTCTCTCTTTTTCTTTTGCCCTTTCTTTCGTTTTTCTCACTATCCAAATATTATTTTTCTCATTATCTTTCCTTCCTCTCATTTCTTCATTCTTTCTTTCTTTTTCTTTCTTTTTCTTTTTCATATTCACATTATTTTTCTCAATATCTTTGCTTTCTTTCATTCAGTCCTTTTTTTTTTCGTCATATCTTCACCTCCTCCCAATCATTCTTTCTTTCTTTCCTCAATATTTCTTCCTTATTGTTTTTTTTTCTTTCTTTGTTTTATTTTATTTATTTCTCAACTGTTTCCCATTATATTTTTTACAGATTTCATTTTTCCTCTTCTTTTTTCTTTCTTGAATTAAAATTCACCCCTCATTTTCTTCTTAATTTAACTCTTTTTGTCTATTGGTTTTATTCTCTACGCTTCTTCTCCTCACTCAAATTTCCAGCTGTTACAATTACAAATTTGCATGTTGTTTGCTTAAAGCAAACTTTGATAGAAGACGATTGCTTTCAGCCTTCAATCTTTCATGCATACCGAATATCATTCCTGACTTCCAAACTCAGGTTCACTTGCCTCCTTTCAAAGAGGTGGAACTCATTAAATGTATTTTTATAGAGACACACAAGTACCTTAAAATTTCCTTATATAACACCGCAAAAAATAGCATATTAAAAATAAAGAAACGCTAAAGTATACTCTAACATTGCTCATATAAGTCAAAACACCATGTTTATAGTACTTACTAAAGGGTGTTCCAATAACCGATTTTAATGTGAATTAAATTGAAGCGTCTAATGATTTTTTTTCTTTTTTTCTTTCAGATTTGGCGGACATTTAGGCGATATTATTTTTCACACATAATTGCCATAACATGATGCAATAGAGAAATAAATAAATTCTCATCAATAACACTGATTTATGTACTGCTAACTTTGATCCGTCTTAATGAAACACCCTGATATATAATCCGTCTTAATGAAACACCCTTTATTTACAAGCTGAAAAATATTTTGCCCTTACTATTATTGATCAACTTGTCTATTTCTTCATTTTATGGGACATTTTATAATAACATTTCAGATCGAAGATGCACCGTCACTTTAAATGAAAATAAATAGATTTTCATTCTACGACTTCAGCCAACGCCATTTTGTTTTACTCTTCACAAGTAACCGAAGTAGGAGAAATGTAAATGGCTTAGTTTAGAAACATTCGATGGATAATATGAGACAGAAATCCAAACGTGCAATGGAATCGCGAAAGATGCCTTCCAGAAACTAAGTAAATTTGTTAGATTTACGAAAATATCGTTAGAAACAGAGAAGGCATTCTCTGTTTCTAACGATATTTTCGTAAATCTAACAAACAGTAATTAATGTTTGTAGCTATTAGCTATTATCAGAAAGAGAGTTACAATTTCTGGCACGCATCTGAGTCATGGTACCATCTTTAGACAAGATTGTTCCAATGCATTTAAAACTATACACTTCCCCCTCATTGACACGGGTTTTACTGTTTATGCTATTTATTATTACTTTGGATTTCTCGGAGCTGGCCTCCATTACATATGCTCCTTCTCTTTCAAACAGTTTGTTGGTCAAGTCCTGAAGCTGACTATTACTACCTATTATGAGGTAAATGTCATCTCCTACGTCCACCTTCAACGGTGCTTCGAGCGATAGCCTTGCACAGGCCGTCATATCTTGTCATGTGTCCAAACGACGCCATTTTTCTCCGTTTGACAATGACAAGAAGAGGTTCCTTGTGCCCCACAAAACTTTCAACCGCTGATGAAAAAGAAATATTTCTGCTGACGAACACCAAGGATCTTCGTCGTCGTCTTCGGCTTTATCTCGTACCCATGAATATAGTTTCTTCTTTTCTGATTGCCTCCTTTATTATAATGCCCTTGATGATTAAGTAGGCCAATTCTTGCAAGGAAGAACCAATCGCATTGACTGTATAGTAATATTACCAGACGGCGAGGTCGATTTTGCCTAGCCTTTCCCTATTGTCATTTGTCTTCCTTTTCTCTTCTGGTGACTTCGAAGATTTTGGTTCCGATGTTGATGGAACATCGCCATTTGATTCGGTTTTGTGCTTGTGTTTCAAATGATTTAGGCTCAAGTCCAGTCACTTTGAGTGTTGTTTTGAGTTGTTCCTTGTATCTTCGAAGCGAGCAACGCCGTGTTTTTTCCCCTGAAGTGAGATCATTGAAAAGGACTTGACGTGGAAACCTTAGCTCTTCCATCCTTGCTACATGTCCTAACCTTCGAAGACGGTGTTTAATGATCAGCGATTCGATGCTTTGGATATTGGATCTTTCCAGGACTTTGGTCTTAATCACATATTAATTCCATTTTTATATTCAAAGTTGAAGGAAGTTTTTGATGGCAAGAGCGTTCTAATTTTGGATATTACGACTTTCCAATATGGTTTCTTAATCATACAGGAAAGTTGAAATGACAAACAGCATTCTAGTATTGTTAAGTTCAGAGCTTTGGTTTTGGAGACACGTTTGATTAGCTTTCCAAATACTCCGTGCGAAGCTCCAATTTTGTGTTCCACACCCTTTTCTGGGGCACGCTTGTTTAATAAAAGGCTGCGTAGATATGAAAAACACCCTACTTTAGTAATATCAAAACCCTGAGAATACTATGGACGGAATATGGAATCTATGACAAAATCTTAAGGATAAACAATGAAGCTATTACCTATTATCAGAAAGAGACAGTTACAATTTCTGGCACCCATACTGAGGAAAGAAGGCCTAGAGAAATTAATCCTCAAAAGAAATACATGAGATATGAGAAGAATGATTAAGCATCTAATTATCTAAGAGTTTGTGCGACTGGATTGTAGAAGGACAAAGAAGACTCAGATACTTTAAAACTGCTTTTACTGATTTAATATTTTCATCCAATCACGATGATAAAGCCACTAAGACTAAACGGTTACTGAAGAGAGAGCGGACAAAACAAGGATTCAGTGTGATAAAAAATGATGGCTGATTTGAAATTTAAAGTTTTTAAGATCGAAGTTAAAAGGAAAGCAAGTCATGGAGATAACTACACAGTCGAATGGGCGTGAGGGAAGAAACTATTAACATAGAACTTACGGTTAGAGCTAGAAATTTCAACAGTAAAATGATGAGATCTAGCTGCCATACATATATATATATGTGTGTGTGTGTATGTGTGCGCGTGCAAAAATTCATATATAATATATATATATGAAAATTTCTCCGATCTAACCAGTAGAGAAGACAATATTTATGAATAAAAATGACAATAGGAAAACTGGTAATTGCTGACGCGTTTCGTCCAATGTGGACTTTATCAAAGCAAAATACGAAAATGAAATTAATTGAATAAAGTAACTAATTTTATGAATCTGTTGTGAATATTTGTTTGTAAGAGTATTAATTTTGTTAAGAAAGGTGAAATAGGGAAAAAGTCTGGGCGTAGATTAATATTTGGGTAATTTTCTATGGCGCCACTCTCCAGAATTTTCCTTCTGAGTGAGTTATTTTCTTTTTTTATGAGTGTAGCATTTTTAAAATCAAAATTATGGTTGAATTTATTTCTATGTATTACTAGTGCATCAGCTAAGTTGTTTTTCGTGAGGTCTCTTTTGTGCTCATAAATGCGTTTTTTCAAACTTCTACTTGTTTCTCCAATATATTGGGAGGAGCAGTTTTGGCAATTTATTTTATAAATGCCTGCTTCAGAAATATTAGTGCTATTATTGTTTGAAGATCTTAGTATATCTATAATGGTTTTGGAAGTGTTTGTGACTATATAAAATCCACATCTAAGCAGCGCTTAGAAGATCACTACATATCGCTTTTTTGTTCCCAATAGAAAATGCCAAGGAGTTTTCCCCAGCATTTGTTCTCAAACACTTGGATCCTTCACTCTATTTCAGTTTCCACGTTTTACATCCATATAGTAGAATGCAGACTACCAACGATTTGTACAGTCTTTACTTTGTTTGAAAGCTGATTTTGATCCTCCATATTCTTGTCAATTTGGTCATCGTTGCCATGGCTGCG